GAGAGAGAGACAGAGACAGAGACAGAGACAGAGACAGAGAGAGAGAGAGAGAGAGAGAGAGAGAGAGAGAGAGAGAGAGAGAGAGGACTTACCAGTTAACAGACTGTTGATGTCAAGCTGAACGTCGTCTGGATGTCTTCGATGAGGATCGTTGTGCCACTCGTCTCAATAGAGAAGTTTTGTAGTTTTATGGAGGAACGAAAGAACGCGGCTCTTCTCAGTAAAAGAAATGTCAATGTTGCTCCTTTCTGGTGGAATGACAGAGTGTGGCACTTTTCCTAAGGGAAGAATTAATGTTTCTGTCCTCTGGAGAAATGAGAGAGTGTGGCACTTCTGCTAAATGATGAAATTATGTTTCTCTTCTCTGAAGGAATGAGAGTGTGGCACTTTTTCTGTATGATAGAAAGCAGCACTGAACTGGGGGGAAGGCTGCACGATTTAGATGTCGCTCTACACAACACTGGTTTATAAAACTTATAGACTTTCGGGACATTCCACTGGAGGAGTGAATTGCGTATGATCAAAACCAATACTAGATCTAAATATAATACAAGAGCTGATTAATAATGTTCTGAGAAAATACTCTTTTTCCTGGAAAGAAGCCCCCTGTCGCTACTGAAATCGAAACTGAAACTGGGTGTAATCAACGGTACGACTTTAATAAATAGCTGAAAGACAGCAGTTAGTAAGAGCCAAGGAGTTGCAGTAGAAAGGCTGCTAAAAGGGTCAGGAGCGGCCAGGAGCCCAGGGGAGGGGGCAAAGGAGATGAAGGGGTGGTGGCACGCAGGGGACTTGATTTCCATTCTCGAGTGGCGGGGCGTTACCCACTGATCAGTGGGAGTTACCTCGTTATGTTTAGTAAATGTTTTACTGCTCTAGCAACTGCATAAGGTCATATGAGTTATTTCATAATAATTTTCAAAAATAGCATTTGTAAAGCGTATAACCCCTCTCAAAAGGCAAGCGCTATACGCTTTACACTATATTATTACCCCAGCAGCAGACCATACACACTCACGAACACATAACACGCACACATGTGCACACACATGTATGCCAAACACGCACACACACACACACACACACACACACACACACACACACACACACACACGCACGCACGCACGCACACACGCATCTACTTGCTTATCACACGCGCACGCTTACACGTCGTCACGAAATAAATGAGCATAAAA